TTCCACGTATAAGTGAAATCATATAGTATTTGTTTTTCTCTGATTTATTTCACTTAGTGTAATAAGTCCGTCTGTGTTACAAGTGACAAGATCCCATTCTTTTTCACGGCCGAGTAATAATCCAGTGTGTCTGTATGTGTGTGGCTGTGTGTGTGTGTGTTAGCACGTGCCCCACACCTTCTTTATCTGTTCATCTGTTGATGGACTCTTCAGCTGTGTCCATATCTTGCCAATTGTAAATAATGTTGCAATGAACATAGGAACAGAGGACCTGAATAGACATTTTTCCAAAGAGACATAACAGATGGCCAGCAGAAAGAAATGATTCTCAACATCATTAATCATCCCAGAAATGCAAGTCCAAACTACAATGAGATAACACCCACACTGGTCCGAATGGCTAACAGCAAAAAGACAAGAAATAAGAAATATTGGAGAGGATGTGGAGAAAATGTTACCCTTGTACACTGTGGTGGGGACACAAGTTGATGCAACCACTGTCGAAAACCATGTGGAGTTTCCTCAAGAAATAAAAAATAGTATTACCATACGATCCAGTATTCTGCTGTGGGTATTTACTCAAGGAAAACTCAAACACTAATTTGAAAACATGTATTCACCCCAGTCAAACTTCTGATATTTGATGGGGGATTGTACTTCCTGGAATATCTGAGATACAGTTCTATATTTTACCACTCAAATACGGATTTATTAGCCTGGTGGACACTTGAGCATGGGCAGTGCTGAGAGTTTCTGAGGAAGTGAGGAACCCCAAAGTAAGATTTATCCTCACATGTATGGACATCCCATCTGATGAGTTATAGGAATACCAACGGGAAGGGCAATACTTCCTCTCAGAGAATAGTTTAGATTGTACTTTAACATACAGATTAATGGACAATGAAATTTTCTTGCATAAAGCACTATCAGAAAAATATTAACCTGACATTTTAAGGTGACAACTAAATCCTCACTTTGACTTGAAAAATCTCAATGAAGCATCCTTAGACTGTCTAACTCTATTATATTTTCCAGTGGGTTCTCTAAAACAAACTATGGATTACAGCTCTGAGTTATTTTGGGGTTATTATCAAATGTCTGCCAAATGTAACTGTTCTTTCTTTTTTGAGATAGTGGGCTTATGGCCTATTTATGTCACTTTTAGTGTGTGATTTTAAATCTTCTGATCTGCCCATGGTGGAAAGCTTATATTTGTTTTCTTTAACAGGAAGAAATGATCCAGTTCAACAAAAATCAAACAGATTTCAAGAATTTAAAGGAGTGGGAGCGGTGTCATGGGAACATAATCCTGTTTTAACTCAGATATAAAGTTATGATTTGATTTGTCAAAAAAAATTTTTTATTGCTCTTGACCCTTGTAGTCCCTTAATACTCATGGTGTGTCTGCTGTGTGTACAGAACAATATTCTGGGGGAAAGGAGGGTTACAGGATATGGTAGTTGGAGTGAGGGGCTAATAAGCCTATTTGGGAAAATAACAAATATATTTCTGAAATGTTAGAAAAAAATAACAGAAAAAAAAGACATTCGTGGATGGTTAAGGAAAGACCACAGAGCAATCTCTAATTAAATTCAAAATTTAGGAACAATCAGTGCAAATGCCAAGACAACTTTGGAGACCAGAGTTTGCTGAACGAGCTTCCCGTCATAAAGCAAAGATGTAGTGTGAGTTCTGTATCTTGATATGTACATATGATGACAATTTTGAATTCCTCTGGAAAGGATTTTTTAAGTACAAGAAATGTCCTAATCAAACATAGATTTTAAAAAGTCAAAACAAGTGGTACTCATGATGTGTTATTTTTGAATAACAACATGTCATTTTCATAACTCTTTCCACATAGTATTTGCTCTGGCTTCATGCCAACCCTATAAAAAAGACTGAGGTAGGCATTTTTACTGATGTACTGCTGAGACCATCAAGACCTCGTAAAGCTAAGAGATTTGTCTATGGTGCCGCACTGATAATATCTTAGGAGTTTCATGAACTCCCTATTTTTCTTTATATTGCATAATTGCTGATAGGGTAGGTAGAACCGGTGACTTAATAGCTTTATTTTCATCTGATAGCCTCAAAGTACCTTTTCACTACCCTGTTGAGTAAATGAAGGAAAATAAGATTACCAGCTACTGCCATGGCTCATATTGACAAGCCATTGTTTTTTTTCTTTTGTGTCTGGTAATTCTGTTAATCCAGTAGACAAGTAGGGTTATCATCACGAGTAGTCATTGTCCTGTCGTCAAGTGATAGGGGAGATTTATAGGACCTGTGTACATACTTCATGTGCTAAAGGAGTTCTCGGTCCATTTGGGGAAAGATCAGATGCACTCAGGAAAGTGGTAAGCCACTAACCTGGGTAGCATACCATTACTCCTCAAAACGAGGGGTGGCAGGTTCTGTATCAGTGTTCTGAGGCAGGAGTGATCCAGGTGAGGTGGGACTTCAGCTAGACCTTCCCTGAGGGATTCGATTCCATGAGGTGGCAGAACTGGATAGGCATTGAGTGCAGTGAAACTTGACTGAAGGAACATGGAGAAATGAATTTGGAAGGGGGGAGGAAGTCCTATAGAAACATTTAAACAATAGGTTGAAGAGTTGGCATCTGTAGGTGTTAAAAAGCCTTGAAAGAAATCTGTGTTTTGCTTAATTTCTCCATGCTTTGAAGGAGCAATTTTGAGATGACCATTGCTGCATTGTGACGTGCTATGGTCCTGGGGTATGGCTAAAAAAACTAGAGGACTGACCAGAATTTATTGTTGTTTTTTATTTGAGGTTTATAAAGTGCTTTTAGCATACTTTGTATTTTGGCGGATTGTGAAATCTGAAATGAAACTGTTTATCCCCTTGACTATTGAGGCCTTCTGTTATATGGCGCCAAATTTGAGGCTGAGGGTCTGTTGCTAAGATGGCGGAGCTCTCTAGGCAAGAGTTCCTTTGTCAGCCAGGGCGCAGCTTGCCTCCTGGGGAGGCGTTTGACTCCACTTTCCATGAAATGTTCATGTGTTGCAGACACGGAAGAGGCAGGAATCTGTGCCTGATGGTTGGCAACGAGCAAGGAGACATTCTTCTGATGCAGTGGCTGGATGGTGTCCTGTCAGGGCATCAAGCCTTGACACCGTCCCTTACCCAAGTTTAGTCTGTTCCTGTGGGGATGAGGATATCTTCTGGCATTTTTGCCAATCCTCATAAACTGAATTATTGTAGTTTCACCAGGGAGAGCTTATTTCTCACATCACTTTAATTAAACTACTAATTTCAGCAGTGAGAAGCTGTTTCTGACATTCACTATGCTACATAGCGAAGCCTTTGGCGTTGATCAAGGTATGAATAGTTGAAGGAGGTATGGATAGCTGAAATGCTTGCCCAGATCTGCAGTGTGACCCTTTCTTATTTATTTAAATTTATTTATTTGACAGACAGAGATCCCAAGCAGGCAGAGAGGCAGGTAGAGAGAGAGAGAGAGGGGGAAGCAGGCTCCCCACTGAGCAGAGAGCCCGATGCGGGGCTCGATCCCAGGACCCTGAGATCATGACCTGAGGCAGAGGCTTCACCCACTGAGCCACCCAGGAGCCCCGCCCCTTTCTTACTGATAAAAGCCAATCCCAGGAGTCTCAATTGTCAGTCCGGGCCAACGTTCCTCACGGCAAAGCTTAAATCTACAGACGTGTTCCATCTTACTATCTATGCTGAATGACAGTTTGTGAATTTCTTAGACTAACTTATTAAACACATGATGGAAATAGCAATGCTTGTCCTTGATTAACCCTGTTTAAACTAGAGCCTCCACATGGTGATTATGATATACATATAGATGTTTTGTTTTGTTTTGTTTTGTTTTTGATTTGTTCTCAGCCTCTACCATACTGTTGTTTGCTTTGCTTTACTTTATGTTGATCAAAAGCTGTGGGGAAATATTCTAAGCAAGGAAAGTGTCCCAAAGAGACTGGGGGCTTGCACAAACTGAGTGCATATGTCCTAAAATGGTTAAACATGTTATTCCGAAATCCTAAGGAGCAGTTTTCCAAGGTCTTCATAAGCCTCAGAGTGGCCTCCTCTGTGAGATTCCCACTTTGCTCCCTGGCACTAGGTGTAATTTTGAGCCTTCTTCTCATTCCGTCCAGATTCTGTCGGTCTGTGGCTGGGAAGCACTTTCTTTGCCAGACGATCCCTGTCCAATTCTTTTATTCTTGGCAGGTTCGTTTGCTTTTTCATGGTTTCAATCCTAACCAGTCCCCAGCCTGGACCCGAGATAAGTTGGTTTCCTAGGCTTTTTGTTGTTGAGAGCAAGGAAGCTGTTATTGTGCCCTGGTGCTCAAGCACAGCCTGTCCTTTGACTTTGCTACAAGTGTTTACACCACCTTTAAAGGGACATGATATTCAAATGTCTTAAACATGTGAGTTCAGGGAGGGCTCCGATCGAATGTCTGGACTTTCTGGTCTTATGAATTCTGCAGCCTCACATGGCATCTCTACCACCAAAGAAAGACTTAGATTTTGCTATGGAAAAGAAGTTGAGGGGCACCTGGGTGGCCCAGTCGTTAAGGGTCTGCCTTTGGCTCAGGTCATGATCCCCGGGTTCTGGGACCGAGCCGCACATTGGGCTCCCTGCTCTGCAGGAAGCCTGCTTCTCCCTCTCTGACTCCCCCTGCTTGTGTTCCTTCCCTCTCTGTGTCTCTGTCATATAAAAAAATAAAATCTTAAAAAAAAAAAAAAAAAGTTGAGACAAGTATTGTCATGAAAGTGAAATGACTTTATGAAAGAATGTTTATGAGCCTACATCAGGTAGTGTGCAGTGCTGTTTTAATGTTTGATGTATGTGTATATGCAACACTCCCACATATGTGTGTGTATACACATATGATAGACGTGTGTGTGCATGTATGTGATAGAAATGACGTTGTAGTGCAGTGATCCAAAAACTTTTTTTTCATAACTGAATTAAAATAGCTTTACATTTATTTATTTATGTGTTACTGCAGCAAGATCAACTTTACACCTGGGCTGCGGTCAGTCAGCCCACTCACTCACTGGACTACACGGAAGGGCAGTTTCCCAGGCGAGCCTCGTCCGTTCGGCCACCATCGAAGCCTCCTGATGAAGAACACGGGCCGAAGGATGCTGAAAAAGGTGCGGCCCCGGGGCAGTTTCTTGGGTTATGATCTGCCGCGGTCCCACGTACAACCGCTGGGAGCCTCGTTACATTGAAAATTGTTATGCTCCACCTTCAAGGCTGCTGAGTCAGAATTTTAGGGAAAGGGACACTGGAGTTACCCAGTTATTATTGTGTATACGCAAATTTGTGAACTACCGCTTCAGGTGGCGAGCTTTACCCACTGCCTGAGATGACAGGAGTCATGCACCTGTGTGGACTGAGAACGACAAAAGGAAATTTCTGTCCGTTGCCTTCAAAGGTGGTGTCCACCTTACTTCTCCACTCTGACTCTTCCCTAATGGCTTTCCTTTTTTTTTTTTTTTTAAAGATTTTATTTATTTAACAGAGAGAGAGAGATCACATGCAGGCAGAGAGGCAGGCGGTGGGGGGAGGGGAGCAGACTCCCCGCTGAGCAGAGAGCCCGGTGTGGGGCTCGATCCCAGGACCCATGACCTGAGCCGAAGACAGAGGCTTAACCCGCTGAGGCCCCTGGGCGCCCCTGCTTGTGCTTTTCTTGATCCTCTTCTTTACCTTCAGAGATGATGGGGCCACAGAAAAGTTTCATTGAACAACATTTTAAGTAATCTTTCCAAACCTGTACAGTGTTCAGATGTATTTATTCTTCTCTAAAATTTTTCTTTTTGGTTGTTTTTCTCTTTGCATCTTTTGTTGTCTTCAAGTATTTTGCGTTATCGGCTGGGAAGATAGCGTGAGATTAATATCAGCTTTATATGAAGACTGGAAGTGGGAAAACGCTTTGTGTTTTCTAAGGAATTAAGAATCCTATTTGTGTAATCATGTTTTGTGAAATTTGGTTGTTTAATTCCTTTTTTAAAGAAGTTTTTCTGTTTGGTATAATAAACTCCTGACTTCTCAGTGGACTGACTCAGAAGTGGAGAGTGCATCAAAGAGCGTTATTGCTGTTCAGAAATGTACCCCGCACCAAATTTTCCTCAATAGTAGCACAAGTGTTAGAGTTACAAATTTTTACTTTTTGGGGCACCTGGGTGGCTCAGTCGGTTAAATGTCTGACTCTTGGTTTCGGCTCAGGTCCTGATCTCAGGGTTGTGAAATCGAGACCTGCGTTGGGCTCCACGATCAGGGAGTCTGAGGTCCTTTCTCTCCCTTTCCCTCTGATCCTGACCCCCACTGTCTCTCTCTCTCTCTCAAATAAGTTAATATATCTAAAAAAATTTAAAACAATTTTTTTCCTCATTGGTTTGTAGAGAGAAAGTCATTAATCTGGATTTGTAATAAAAGAGTATAAGATAAGAGCATGGAGCTTTGTAAGGTCAGGTAAATTTCTTAATCCCTATACTCAGTTTCCTAACCTGTAGAATGTCGATAAGAATAGCATCTACCACATAGGGCTGTTTTGAAAATTATCTAAGTTAATGCATGTTCAAGCATAGAGTTAGCAATCAGAATGCAATGTCAGGCTTAGTATAATTGTTGCTATTGTTATCATTATTATTATTATTTGACATCTTTATTACTTCCTCATGAGTTCCCTTTAAAACCAGCAGTGACCCACAGTGTTAAGGATTTTATTCTAGGCCCCTTTCCAAAGTGAATGTAGCATTCATAATCCCGTTTTTTATTCCACTGTCTGAAGGGATGCTTATACCTTTCTTCTTTCTACTGAAGCCCAGAATGGGGGGCCCACACCGAACCGCACGTGTCCCTTTTTTAATGTCTGATGCTTCTGAAACACGGCTGAGTGTTCACTAGGTGGACTTATACTCCCTGAAATGAACAACAAATGAGAGAGAAGAGTAGGAAACTTTGTCCCATGTAGGGCTCAGAATTTCTTGGAACACGGTACAATTGATCAAGGACCAAGGTCTAGAGTTCCTTAATGCATATATCTTCAGAGATGAAGGGGTTCTAATATGATAATACCTGAAAATAATCACACAAAAGCATAGTTATAAAAAGAAAAACACACAACTAAAAGGATTGCTTCTGTTAAGTGCACTATGTTACCCGTGTTAAACACTTTAACTTCTTGCTAGGAAGCAGCCAGGTGTAGATAGGGTAGAATCGACAGTTCCCTTGAGCAGTGTCTTAGCAGTCGTCCCTGTCTTGTGTTTTACATCATGACCAGTGTCATATTTTCATTTTTTTCTTCCCTAGTATGCCTTTCCCCACTTCTTCGAAATATTAACATTTTCCTCTAAAATTTTAAGGCTCTTTAAAAGAGTTTCAAAGTATATTATTGATTTTGTATACTGGAGGAGGACTGGATGGAAAGCTATTGATAATCTAAATTTTAGTTTGGTTAGAGAGGATAGTTGGAATTGATACCGGGAACTTTTTAACTTCGTTTTCTCGTTGTTATTTGGTGTAGCTTGCCAAATGCCAGATCAAGTAATTTTTAAAATAGTAACTTGTATCCTTTTATAATATGCATTCTTGAAGGGGAGGATGGAGGTAAGTAGAAGATAATTTTGTGTAGTGACTTGTTTTTCTCCAGTTGATCTGTTAAAAACTTGAATGGCCATATAGCATTCTTTTGTCCAAATGATCTAATGGCACTTTCTTTTTTAAAAATTTTTAAATTAAAAAAAAAAAATTTTAAATTTAATTTTTTCAGTGTTCCAAGATTCATTGTTTATGCACCGCACCCAGTGCTCCATGCAGTATGTCTAATGGCATTTTCTAAACTTTTTCTGCTGTGACTCCATGGGCCATTCTCATTCTGAGGGCCATACCACTCTCTCTCTTCTACTCAGTCAGTTGTAAGTGAGAGGGTCAGTAATACAGCAAAAACCTTACATAGAATCTACTGCTTTAAAATATATATATTTGGTGAAACGTTGACAACATAATTACTAATAGTAATGGACAATTTGCAGTACACTTAATGACTATGGCCATACATTGCTGTGGAGTGACGTCATGGTTGAAACCAGTATTTGCAAAATGTGGCCCCTTTCAATTTTAGTTTAAAATAAAAGGGTTCAATGATTTTTTTCTTTTTGAAGAAGAGGGATTTTCAGTTACATCTTAGAAAACTGAAAACTTGTTTCTGTCTTGTGGCCCATTTTCATTATTGATTCCTAATTCACATGTCCAGCTAATGCAGACTTCTCATGCATCTGACTTACATATTTTTGTAATTCCTTCTCTAAGAGAGGCTTTTCTCCACCTTTCATATAATGGTGAAAGAACCAGCCCTCCTCTATAGGGATTTGAAGTGCAGAGGTCAAGGTGAAGCCTTGGTGTCTCTCCCCGCCAGTGAGCAGGAGAAGGGCTGCAGATTCTTGGGAATCTTTTGCAGTCGGCATTGTCTCCACAGAAAACCCGAGGTGTGAAAATTGACCTTTTGAAGCTACAGAATGCCTCCTGGAAGGATAAGGCTAGTTAGTTGGAAAGGAAATCAGGAAGGAACGTTCTGCAAGATTTGGTGGTAGAAACATGGATAAGAAAAAAAACCTTTCCATTTATCTTGTTTCCTCTTTATCTTTTCTCTCTTCATTTTTCTTTACTTATATGATGCAACACCCTCTGTGTTTCTTTTTTTTTTCCGAGTCCCATGGCATTTTATTCTTATCTGTATCATTCATATTACTTATGCATTATAATTTTTCTGTGTGTACATATCTGTATTCCTTGGAGACTCCCCACATTTCAAGACCTCTGGGCACATAGTATATGTTTAAATATTTAAGCCAGTAAATTAAGATCTTTTGTTGAAAAAGATCTGAATGAATATCTACTTAGCACATTCATGGAAGCATTTGAGGGAGAGTTTTGTGTGTGTGCTGAAACAGCCCATGGACCATTTTCTGGGCTCAATACCAAGTTTCAAAAGTTATTCACTGATTCACAGAAATCAAAGAGATAATTAACTACAGTTTTCAAATTTATGAAGACTAGGGGCAGGGTGTCTAGATGTGTATAGGGAATTGATCATTCTTATTGTGTTTTAGAAACATCAAGCCCCTTATCTTTCTCTGAAAATGTAAATGGCCAAGAGGAGTGCCTTTAGGAAGGCAGTCAGGGGACAGAAAGTCCGGAAGGAAACTGTGCAAGGAGAGTTGATAGAAACGTGGCAGAGACTTTTTATATAGAAATGCTAAAAGTCGTGCTTACAAGCTGCCTGAAAGCAGCGCCACCCATCTTAGCTCCAGAAAAGATTTGAGCAGCATATAAATATCTAAGCTATACAAAAGAATTACAATGGAAATTAAATCGAAGGGATTTAGGATGGAACAATAAAATGAAGCCAGGGTAAAGTAGAGCGCAAATGTATTGCAGAAGCGCTTGGAATTTGCAAAGGTAGGTGGAGATTTTTCCTCAGGTTTAAAGCAAAGTGGGAAGTGGGGACAATTCTATAATCATCCCCTGTGTCCATGAGGTTAAAAGTAACAGCGTTGCTTTTTTGGCCTTTTTTTTTTTGGCCTTTTTTGGCCTTTTTTGACGCACTTTTCTGGCCTTTTATATAAAAAATAAGTGTTTCTGATGGTTCCTCATAAGATTCTGTGTTTATCATCAGCTCATTTCCAGGAGTAGCAGTCTGAATGCTTTAACAAGTGTTTAGTTGGGATAATGAAGAAATTCTGTAAGGAACCCAGGAAGAGTTAGATAGTGTTCTATTTCTCCGCTTCCCACTTGATCAAGGGATGAAATGTGCTGGAAAAGACTGAAAGATTGACCGTGTCTCCTTCTCCTGTAGATAATTCTTCCTCCTCCTCCTCTTTTTTTTTTTTTTTTTTTTTTTTTTTGTGATTTTGACTTGCATTTCTCTCATATATGCAGCTTCAGTCTTGTGTGTCAATATCCTTTGTTGACAATGAGGGCATATCCATACTGTGAGATAATCAAATAAGCAGACCGTAGGGTTGGGCCCTTTTAGGAAAATCACATGTTTAACTCCATCTTCATTTATGGAAGGACATGGCATGTCAGAATTAAAAACATCGCCCATTTATTAGGCAGCTAACCGAAGTCCTACTATTTAAATAAAGTTGAATAAGTTCTTTCTCAATTAAATTGACTAGACTTGAATCAAATTGATGTATATACCATTAAAGAAACTTTTAAAATTATTTTCTGTAAGTGCCTTTTTACTTAGAGTGTCAAACTGTCTCGAGACTGCTTAATTCATTTTTAGAAGGCATACTTTAAATGCTTTAAAAGGGTGATTTAATTTATTTTCCATTCATAGCAGAGAGGCATATCTTATTTCTCTCTGTAAATGTAAAACTCATCTGATGTGTTTTGTTTTACAAGTCCTAGGCTTATTTTGTGATGATACAGAGGTCATTTCTGAAACATATTTGGAATTGTGGGGAGCCCAGAATTTTAGATTATCGCTTATTTAGAACACTTAAAGTTTTGCCAGAAATGTTCTTTCTCCTACTTTGCTTCACAGTGATGTTGTTGTTGTGTGTGTGTGTTTTGTTTTTTTTTTTTTAAACAGTCTAGTTTCTGAATTCTTAAAAAGGGTGAGAGAAGGAGTTGGCAGTTTTAAATGTACCTTTGAGAGGGCTCTCACTGGGTTACTCTTTAAAAACAACCATCCTGGTTGATGAATACGTAATGGGAACTGTCAGTTCCAAAGCTGAGTGGAAGGCAATTCCCGAAAGCCCGGATGCTGGAAGAGGAGGGTGTTGGCAACAAGTGTCATGGACGTTTGTCCCTGAGGTGATCATTCTAAGAATGTTAGAACTAAGTGGACTTCTCAGATTCACTTGCCCAAGGACCCTAGCCTTGAGCAGACACTCAGAAACCAGCTTACTTATCGTTTGCTGCAAGCATGTCCTTTTCTCTCTACTCCCACGACTCTGTCCTCATGCTTCTCTTTATTCTCTCCTTCCTGTGCCTTCTTTGTTTTTTCTCTTTCTTATTTGCCTTCTCCTTAACTTTTATTTTTCTTTTCTCTTTGTTCTCTTCATTTCACCTTTGTTTTGCGGTCCAGTTATTCTGTACTTTTTCATCGTAAAATCTTGGCACTCTAGAACTCGTGTGCTTCAGTTTATGATTTGGAAGAGCGCATTTTGCCATAAATTTCTCTCAGATGTTGTAAGATGCAGATTGAGAGAAACGAGTATAGTGGGAGATGCGGTTGGGGGCATGAATGCAACTTGGTCACCATGGAATTTGATGGAGGGAAAGGAGAGGTTTGGGAGGAGGAGGATTCAGAAGAGTGACTGAGTGTCTGCCTAGTTCATTGTTGTGGTAAACTGGATGCATTCTTTGCCATCAGACCCCAGAGGTCTGCTTTTTTGGACAGGTCACCAGGCCTAGGGCTATAGCGGAAACACTAGGAAATCCTGTGTGTATTTCTAATGCAAAGAACTCACGTGTTCCCTCCCAAGATCCTTTGGGTTTGCCCTGCACACCCAAATAGAAGGAAGAGGGAGAAAAGTGTTCCCCATCAAAACAAAGCTGCAGGACCTTATCTAGAGTCTGTTGTGTTTGGGGATGCGGAGGTAACTAAGAAAAAAAGAAGTGTTCCAGAGTTTGGATTTGCTAATGTTAACTGCTTGGTTGGCTTTGATGTTGGGATCCTTATTCAAAATCGGCTAACTCTGTGGTAAGGTCAGTGTAGAGATTTGTCAATATAAGAAAGAAGAATCCCTTTTCCATTACCTCGGCAAAGTCAGTCAGTTGTCTGGGGAACTGCTTGCTTTCTAAGGCTACTTGTTTTAACATTCTGTTGCCACAGTGACATCTGTTGGTAAGTGACTACTTCATGCTCTTCTCAAAGATTTTTGTTTTGAAAGATAGACCCTAAGCAGAGGTGCAGAGGTAGTTAAAGGCAGAGCGATAGCTGTGTTGCCCCTTACAAAATCTTACTCCCCTTTTCCCTTTCCCAGGATACCCTGTTTCATGGTTTCATTATTCTTTGATCACTCTTTCCATTCCTTCCTACAATGACCCAGCGGATATTTTAAGCACCTTTGTGTGCCAGGCACTCTTCTGGATGTTGGGGATATAATGGGAAAAAAGGACAAAAACCCCTGTCTTATGTTCCAGTAGAGAAAGAGCAATAAAAATTAGGAGGCAAACAAGCGAATTCTGTAGTATATTCTGTGATGTTCCATGTTAGGAAGAAAGTAAGAGGGAATGAGGAGGGCTAGCCTTGGGTGGGATTGCCACTTCCTTAAAAAGAGTGCCAGGAAGTCTGGAACAAAGCCCTAAGGAAGGGGTCAAGGTTGCGGTGGGGAGGGGCACAGGCTGGTTTTCCACTCAGCAGAGACCCTGTGGAGGGAGTACGGCAGCAGGTTAAAGGGTAGTGAGAAGGCCCGTGTGGCCACAGCACAGTGAGCGGGTGGGGAAAGGCAGAGGTGGTCAGAGAGGTCAGGGACTGTGGACAGATGAAAGGTCAGTGGGCCCGTGCAGACACGGTGCTTTCATCTCAGTGAAATGGAAACTTCCAATGTCTTTTAACAACGTGTTATAAAATTTAAATGCTGGGCACCTGTTCTCTTTCTGTAGCATTGTCACAGGTGGCAACTAAAATGCCGTGAAATCGGGAATGTCTGGATGATCCTCCAGAGCGGCTGCTGTTCTTGTCAAGGGTCTGGTCTTCATGCCGTTGGGGGTGGGGAGCAATGGTCCCCAGCTTCCCCCCCAGTTGCTTATGTTATGTACCTCTGATTTCTCTGCTGTAAAATGTGAACACTGGACGCGAGAAATGGTGTTCAGACTGTGGTCCGTGGAGCGCCAGGGATTTCTGAAGGCCCCTCTGTTTTTATTTTTTGTTTTTAAATTTTCACACAAGCTTCACTTAGAAGAAATTTGTTCCTTAACTTAAAAAATGATCCTGGAATTGGTTATCCCTTAGGTTTTCCAGCATGAATTTGCAGTCTCATAGGCTCTCAAGTGATGAACGAAATCCCTTCAGAACCACTTATTACTAAAGCCTCTTGGTAGAGAAGTTAGAAGGTAATTTGTCAGTAGGTAGGTAAGGTGATCGATTTCTATCTTTCAAGATTGGTGAGTTGGCTTCTTTCGCTTACAGACTTTAGCTAAGTGAATAATACAATAAGTGGGCGTTTCAATAGGTACTTCCTGGCACAAAATAAAGGCTGGCAATTGAGAACAATAATTATGGTTGATGTGTCAAGAAGGACATGAGGCTATTCTAATTTTAAAAATAATGACGTGAGTGTTAGTCGTATATGTGATATATATATATATACTGAAAAGTAGTCGTGTCCTCGTAATATAGAAGTATAATTGGAGATTAAGTGGATGTTTTGGGTACTTCAGGTTAAAGATATGTTTTAGTTAGTTTTGTTTTCTGATTGAGGAAATGGGGGAAATTTTCTCCTTCAAGATACTGACTGTCTTCTTCTTTTCCAAACCAGAATCTCAGTCTGCTGTTTTGGAAACTCCAAAAAAAAGTTCAGATGCTGTTGAGCGGGTAAGAAGAGCTTATTAGGATGTCGAATCCTACTCTCTTTCTTTCTTACTTTTTCTCTTACTTGTCTTAAAATGGTGACAGACTCGGATTTATTTTTTCATCATTATTTTTTCATAGCTTAGGCCACCCTTATTTCTCTAAGTCTTCAGGGGAATCCAGTCGGGTGGAAGGGGATGTTTTCTTCCATTCAGGCTTGCAAAGAAAATCAGCCTTGAAATGGAACTGAGTACAGGCTTTTTAGAAGCTGCGTCGCTCTCAGTCTGGCCAAAGAGTTGAGCCTGACGGCAGCTGGGCTCCGGCAGGAGACAGTGGTCATTCCAGATACTATGTGGAGATGTGCCTAACTTAGCTAATAGTCACATGGATACGTATTAAAAAAAAAATGCCAGAGCTTTTCTAAAATCAGATCATATTATTAAGTTGCTTTGGTGGATGAAACATTAGTGTCTGTTTAATTTCCACAGAAACCTTTTTTTTTGATTACTAAAAAAGCTAAATTGTCTGTTTTTTTTCTTTTGTGAAAATACTATTAAAGAAAAAAAAAGACTACAAGAAAGGAAAAACTTATATGGAATAGTAAGTGTGGATAGCAGTTGTTCTTGGATACAAAACAATTTTTTAAAAAATGTATTACTACTTTCTCCCAACTAATCTTTCAAAAATAACTTAGTACTAGAAATTATCAGTAAGAAGAGTCTCTCCTCCAGCGCGGTTTAGTCCAAGAGAAGACTCTTGTTGTGTTCTAGGCCGAGCTCTGTTTCTGGATAGTGTGTAACAACATACTAAGCTCTCTGGGACATAGTATTTTTCTCTGTAAAATTAAAGAATCTGATCGTTTTTGAGAACATTTCCAAGTTAAAAAATAGCTTCCCTTTTAGAAAGCCCCAGTCCTGCCTTGTTCATGAAAAGTTGTGCTCCCCCTGGAGGAGAAGTGAGGATATAACATTGGTCAAGAGCCCCTGGAGGAGAAGTGAGGATATAACATTGGTCAAGAGCTTTATTTTTTAAAGCTTAACTCATACTTTAAAAAAATACAGCTATAGAGTTATTACGATATTACTGACACCTATACTATACTTTTCATTGCTATGGCTTATTTATTTTATTATTGAGAGTTTGTACCCCTTAATCCCCTTCACCTGTCTTACTTATCTGAAACTATTATGTCAACTATGCTTCATTAAAAAAAAAATAATAATAATTGGGGCATCTGGGTGTCTCAGACGGTTAAGCATCTGACTCTTGGTTTCAGCTCAGGTCGTGATCTCAGTGTCCTGAGACTGAGGTGAGGCGTGGAGGCTGCTTAAGACTCTCTCCCTCCCTCTGTACCCTCCCACCCTGGGTGCACTCTCTCTCTCTAAATTATAATAATAATAATAATTATTATTATTCAGAAATGTAGCTACATTGGCCATTATTTTAAGATTAAGGACACTCTTAAGGGTAGTGTCATAAAACATATTCTCCTAGCTTTTTGTCAGAGAGGAGACCCACGTGAGATCAGGGTACTTGAAGATGGTTGGTGTTCTCCGCTGATGGTTATTTAATTAACTGTGTAATGATGAGCTAGCAGGGATTGAGATGAAGAAAAATAAAAAGAGTAAAGTGAAATAAATTCAAATAATTAAGAAAATATTGCCTTCAAAATATCCTCTCATTTTCACAGCCTTTTTTTTTTTTTTTTTTTTTTGGCATGACTAAGTTGTGATCTGAGATAATATATTACATTTTTCTAAATTCTTATTTCCAGGGCATATGTAACTGAATTTTTGTTATATATGATAATGCCGAAGAAAGCCTCAACAAAGCATAATCTATATTATCAAAAATGATAAACAGGTACAACATTGCTCTATGTATTAAGATCAAGATATCTATTCATGTGTGTAAAATTATAGTGAATTTTCTATTTCTCACGAACTGTGAACCATGGTACAATATATTATAATCAGAAAACCTGATACCCTGGGTGATTTACAAATGTTTGATGTTACAGCTTTGGAAACTCAAGGGTGAAATAGATTGATTTAAATTTCACATCTTCTTTCCTTGTTGCCAGTGAACTTTCTAGAAGCTAGAAAACACAATTAATTGAGAGGAAACGATATTTGGAAGCAATTGAGGTTAAGTCCTCAACAATGACATCGATTACTTTCTTTGTTATAAGTTTACTTATGGATTGGTTCTTTTCTTAGATATACATAGGTTTCATAAGTGCTTAAAGTAACTGGCCATCAAAGAGATATAGGAAACTAGAATTAATTGCCAATCTACTGTGTACATAACTCTTTTACTGTATTATCTTATGCGATTCTTAACAATAGTCCTTTAAAGTAACTCTTATAATTCATATTTAGCTGATACAGAAAAAGATGTTTATAGTAATTCACCTACTTAGAGTCACAAAATTAAGGAAGGGTTAAGAGCCAGGATTTGAATATAAGTCTCTGATTTTGTACCTCATGTTTGCTACACTATGATTAAAAAATTATACTTTTACATGAGCATTTGCCCTATGGCTGTTGTCAAGATCATTAGATTCGTAGATGAGAAGTTTATTTTAAAAGTTACTCTATTACATTTCAACTATATCATTTGTAGGGGTCAGATGTCGAGATATGTTTCAGAGGCACATAGAGAGCCTCATTAGTTTGTCGATACATTTTTACATTTTCGTATAACTTTGGTATGCTCAAGTGTGCCAGTTTGGCTAATGTCAGTGTTTCACTGCTCTTAAAAAACAAACAAAAAAAGACACACACAAAAAACACCTTACAATTTTATTTTCATGTAAAGCATCTTGCGTTTTTCTTCTTAGTCACTAGATGGCAGTTCTGTATCTCTAAAAATTACCCCTACTGGAGGCAATGTGAGGTTTTAAGCCAGTTTGTTCTGTATGAATGATGAACAGAAGAGTGTTTCTGGCCCATCCCAGGCTGCCCGCGTTCTTCTGTGGTTGTAATGCGAGATCTCCAGGACTGCTTAGTCAGAGGCAGGAACTGGGTTGGGAATCGCCCTCTAAGCTTTTCTTCAGATGTGAGTTCAGGCACCTGTTCTCTCAATCTGAGCACACTGGAATTTATTGAATGAGTTTTGACTTTTACTCTCTCTCTGTACTTAATAATTCTGAGAGCTCCATATCCCTAGAAAAAAACACATGACTCATAAAGCCTTTTCTCAACTAAAAGGAGGGGAAGACTGTGGCTTTGCCCGGAGAGAGTCTGATGCTTAAAGCAAACACAGCTGGCATTCAAGCAGAAAGAAAGAACTGTAGCTTTCTCCTGGAGGGCTTTTACTGATGGCCCTTTGGAATTAGAAGGCTTTCAGATAAAACTACCTTATTTAGGACCTCATCTATTGATTATTTGTTTTCAAGTGATACGCTCTGAAAATATGCTATGTCAAAAGGATTATTAAAAAACAAAACTGTACTAGGACTTTGAATTCTGTTTTATATTTTTTTGGTATTTGAAATACTAAACTGTGAACCCTTTTATATTCTACAATATATAATTATCTCTAAGAGTGTTTGTTCCTATATTAAAGATTAGGATATGAGAGCAAAACTGGCTACTGCCACATTTTTAACTTACTTTTTGCTTTTGAAATTATCATTGACCCTTGAACTACATGGGTTTGAACTGTGCAGGTTCCTCTAAATGTGGATTTTGTTCCCATAAATATAGTACTAGAAATGTATTTTCCTTATGATTTTTCCTAATAATATTTTCTTCCAGCTTAGTTTATTCTAAGAATGCAGTACATAACGCATATGATATACAAAATGTGTGCTCATCAGCTGTTTAAGTTATGGCTAAGGCTTCCACTCTATAGGTAGTTAAGTTTAGGGGGAGTCAAAAGTAATACACGGATATTTGACTGTGTGCTTCTAACTCCCATGCTGATCAGGGGTTAACTGTACATATACAATTGTGTTTTGAAGCATTTTTCCTAAAACAACTCGCACCTTTCTAATGCAAATGGACTAGATGAAAGATAAAGAATAAATAAATAAAATTTGCTCTTTAGAAATTCAAGCTTTGGGTAAGAATTGATAATATCAGGTGGTTGAAAGTTGAGTCTCTCTGCACATTATGGTTTTTATTAATTGTGAAGAGCCATGTCTATTACAAAGTATTACTTTATTACAAAGTTTACTACAAGTATTACTATTACAATAGTAATTTCTTTTTATTAAAGAAAAGAATAAAATAAAAAGAAATTAAACAGTATCAGTGCTCTTACCCCATATGTTGTATTGTTTATATGCAGGTAAATTCTCAAAGGTCAGCAAAATGCTTATGACTTGAGATAACCAGCAAAATCCTATCTCAGTCCAATTTTAACCTCCTTTAAAATTGGCTTACACACTTTTCTCTTAGGATCCTGCTCTGATCACCTCCTGGGTCCCCCTTGATGCCTAATTTGATTGCAAACTTATTTGAGGAATTAAATATTCTTTCTCACTGGTTCTCCTTACAGTGTCTGTTATAGTGCTCTTCATGAAATAACCACTCAGTACAATTTATTATTCGTTTCAGAAACATCTTTAGTTGGGGACAAATCAAGGAAACAGATGGGAGGTGGCCTAGTTGATGGTGATTGAGGGATTACTCACATGTGTCTTGGCATCGGAAAGTTTAGAGAATAAAAGAATTATCGGTCAGATCAAAAGAAAGGTGTGGGGTGAATTAATTCTGAAAGGCTAATGATGAAGACTTATAAAAACAAGCCACTTTTTTGTTGGAACATATCACACATATCAAAAGGTTGGAAAAAACTGTTTAATGTGAGTTCCTTCTAAACTAAGGCAAAAAGCAATATGAGTTTCCATGGTTATTAAAAACCTATAAAATGATGATTTACAAGACAAGTAAACAACTAAAATATAAACCAGGGTAAGAAAAATAGGGGTTAAATGAGAGCAGGAGAGGGATGGCTGAGGGGAGAAAACACGAGTCAGTCTGGTCATCCTTGAAGTTTACCTCAGACTGGTCATT